TATGTGTGTGTGTGTGAGTGTGTCAACATCATCATCTCCTCAACACATCCCTAATGCATGCGCATATCGCACATGTATAGCATTCACAATGCATACAAGTATGCTTAAAAGATGAAGTTTCTTATTAATTGGATCATTAACTCATATTACAATCCTAAATAAAAAAACTACAAATTCCAAATTTTAAAAAACTAATTTGAATTCACAAGTATGGTTGAAAAAGAAAACACTAACAAGAACATACAATTAAATATATAATTATACAAATTTGTTATATCATACAAAAGTTGCAAATCTTTGAAAAACCTTGAGTTACCTATTTTTTGTGAGTTTACAATTAGTCAAATAGCAAATATAAGTAGTAAGAACTCTTAATAAAAGTTTATATAAGTCACACATGCAAAAGTATTAATGTGCATGATTTGCAGTTGCTAACACTTTGTTTGGTTTGAGGGGAGGAAAGGAGAGGAGAGGGGAGGGGAGGGGTTTTAATGAAAGAGAGAACTTTGTTTGGTTCAAGAAGGGAGGGGAGGAAAAATAATTATATATGAATAATTATGTCCTTACCTTGCTAAAATTTTTTTTCCTTATTTTTTATATTTTAAATAAAATATATCTGTGAAATTTAAAAAAGCAAGGATAAAATATACATCTCACCCATTAAACCAATGAAAACATTTTATTTCAAAAAAGATCAAATATTTATATTAAAAAGATAAAAATATAAAACACAATAAAATATTAGTTAATATAAAATACAAGTTAATATGTAAAACGCAATGGCAAAGACCACAATCTGAATGCGGGGAGAAGCAATGGTGGATAACGATATGAATGGGGGGAGCAACAACGACGGACAACGTTTTGAATAGAGGGAGCAACAATGGCGGCGCGAGTTAGGGAAGAGAGATGGCAACATGAGCAACTGTGAAGAACTTCAACGCCAGTGACAATATGAGCAAAGGGAACAGTGATGACGGCGTGTGATGGGGAAGATGGACAGCAGACTGAGTTGAGGGAGATGGATTGTGGTGCGGTCTTGGGGAGATGGAGGCTGTAACAATTTAGGGAGAGGGACGATGGCCTGAGTTGGGAGAGGCACGAGAGCAGGAAGGTATTTTCAGATTATTATATTACAATAAGGAAAAATTAGTCATAATAAATCGTATTATACAGCTCCCTTCCTCAACCCCCTATTTTGGAGAGGAGGAAAATTTAAGAAAAAAAAATTATTATCTAAACAAGGGGAGGGGAGCAAAATCCCTCTCCTCCCCTCCCCCGAACCAAACATGCTCCCCTCCTTTTCCTTAAATTAAACATGGGATAAAAGTTATCTTAAAGCTATTCTAATATTATTTTAAGTTTTAACATTATTTTAAGACCTTAAAACTATCTCATAAAAACTAACATTCTTTTTAAATTTATATCCCTTTATAATTTAATTAATTTATTACAGTAGCCAAATTTTCGCTGAAGTTTTGATTATAGAAATTTTCCAAATCCATAAAGCTTAATATAAATTCATTTTACATTTATATAATATTATCATATGTATATAAATATAAAATGGAAGCATTTCGGATTTGGTTGATAGCGTTCATGAGTGCCGAATTCAGAAAACAATTGGAAGAAATTCTAGAAGCCAGGTGAAAGTAACGGACTTGGCTACCCTTTAGTGGCGGAGCCACGTGTCGGTGGAGGTGGCCATACTTGCGGAAAATAACATCTATGGGGTATGTATTTTTATATTTTGCAGTTTGCTCCCTCTTTTTTTATACTTTGCACCCCTTATTTTAGTATTTTAAACTTTAAACCCATTTCAATCTTACATTTAGCCCAAATTCAAAATTTAATTTTTTTTAACTCAAAGCCTAGTGAATATTAGCTCTTGATTTCACTATACCTAAATATCAATATTATTTATTAATCCTTTAAAAAAATAAAAGAAAAAATTAATTTGACTAAACTAGGCCCGTGTCATCCTCATCTTGAGAATACTAGTCAAGGACTATTCAGGAAAAAAGAAAATAGCAAATGAAGATTGAAGATTTAATAGTAAACTCGTAAATACTTTTTGCTAGCTTGTTGCGCTTGTAAGTTTGCAACTGAAAGTTGAATTAAAAAACAAAAATAAAAAGAGAAAAAAAGAGAAATAGTGTATTTGAAAGAGATTGAAAAGTTTTTCTTGTACCAAAGTCTTGGCTCTACCCACTTGATCTAGGATCTTAGCTTTGTTATTGCTTCCCACCTCTGACGGAAGCCTCCACTATAGTTGAGGGTGACTCTGGGCCATTGGATTTATTTGAATGGTCCATATTTAATGTTTTTTTATTTTATTTTATGATTAAGGTGTATGTTTGTCCTAAAGTATTTTCTGAGGAGCCTCCAGTATCTTAAACTATTGATTGAAACAATTTTATCTTTGAAGTAATTAAAAAGGGGCATTTTTGCCCTTGCAGTCAAATTTTCAACGTTGATCATTAGAGAATTTAATGAAAAGTGTAAAAATACTTTGTTTAAATTACTTTAAAAGTAAAATTAATTTAACTAATAGTTTAGGATGTTGGGTGCTTCTCAAAAAATACTTCAAGGGCAAAAATATACATTTATCCTTTAATTTATTAAAATAAAAAATTATAAAAAATTATAACAATTTTAATAAATCTGTTTACTAGTATGGACAACATTCGGATTTGGTATGGATGGTTCAAACTTAATATTTAAAATTTTAATATTAAAATTGTAATGTCTAGAATATATGTGGATAGTTAATTTATAAAAATAATAAAATTTTAATATTATATCTGAACTATATATATTAAATTTGGACTTTGATGACAAAATTATTAAAAAAAATTTAAAATTTGTATAATTTTTATTTTAATAAAATAAAATAAATTAATTTTGGATCATCTAAGTAAATCTGGATGGTCCCGATTAGAGGCTTCCCTTGGATCGAAAGTCCGAAAGTAACTACGGCCAGGAAATGGACAAAAATGTTCAAGGAGGGTTCCGCGCATATACATATATAGGGTTCCGTGCATATACATATATAGGCATATATAAAAGTGATGCTTGACACAAGATAAAAATTTATAGATGAATAGAGTGGTAGAGTTTTCACTATGTTATATATTTAAACTTATAAATTTATTAAATTAAACTAATTTCTTTCTTCTTATTATTATATTATTTCCATACCTATATTTTTAAAGATAAATTTAAGATGATTTGACATAATTTAAAATTTAATAAGATTCTGATTATTATTACTACTACTACATTCTTTTAATTCATTTTTTTGTTAGTTTCAGATATTTTGATAAATTTAATTTCTTTAATTATTACTTTTTTCTTATGCCCTACTCTTTTAGGCTCAATGCTTAATACTATGTTCTCTTTAAGGTGTCTGTTGGCACTCTAAGACCCAATATAATTTAAAATGTTACAACTAATGAGATGAAGTAAAATAGGTGCAATTTTATTTTATTTATTTTTTTAAAGCTATGAAATCTTAAAATTTCTTGTCTATGGATGAATGGTTTCAAGAACATCAAATGTGTGCGGTCTTTCTCAGTTGACTATAAGAGATCATCCAAAGTTGAAATTATTGTTCACACTGTCCACAGCTAAAACCTTAACATGTATCATTGTTGTTTTTAACAATTGAGAGATGTGGAGAGTTGCAATATGTCATAGAAGAAGAGATCAATGAACTATCAATGATAGTTGAATCTAGCGGAAAGAACTGCTCCATCACAATGTGACAAATCAAGATTTAAATCCTTACTATTATGAGAGATTTCCATGTTGAGCACGTAACTGTGTCTCAAACAAGATTACTTCTAATAGAAGCAATAAAAAAAAAAGATCAATGAACTATACCTGAAAGATCTACGGACTATGGCAACGATGAGAGCTTTCTTTAATTTCCAAAGTGGTACCACCTTCTTGATGGTGCTTTATACTTTTCTTTCATGAAGAAGAATGTGCTTACTTCAAAAACTTTTGTTATGCCTCATGTATATATGGTAAAGGAGAGCAAAGAAAAGAATCTCAACAAGTGACATATAATAAGCAAAGAAAATGGGTATAGCAATTAATTAGGATACGAAACTTGTTACTTTCCAGAGACAAAAAGAAAAGAAGAAGGAAAAAAAGAATCATTGTTTGAGTGGCTCATACTCTTATGTGATTCTTGCTTCCATATAAAAAGCTATGCAATTATCAATTTTAGTTCTTCCACACATTTCTTAGACATTTGCAACTATTCCTTCCTATGTGCTCTCTGTGATCATCAACAAGAGGTTAGTGTCTCGTAATTATCGTTCTCAGTGCCTATGGTTGATTTGTGTTTTCCCTGTGAAAGTTATTATACGTAGATAATATATATCGTTTTTCAATCATTGTTTAGCTTTATTTTATTTTATTTTCAATCCTTTCATCTCTTATTATATTCTTATCCACCAATCCCATTTCAGTTTGTTTTATGTTAACTAATTCACAGACTCCTCCTCAATTAACTTTGATTCATTTTTCAATTTTTTATCTATTGATTATTTGTTGTGGAAGAACTACTTATTGAAATATATATATTGATTACTTTTCATTTAGATTTGTTTTATAGATTTCAATTTTCGTCATCATATATTGAGGGCATCTTTTTTTTTTTTTTTGCTGATTTACGATTGTAAGTGTGTGTGAACTATTCTTGGCTAAAGGGATTGCTCTCATTTATTGCTTACAAAGAAATTTCGTTTTATTTCCAATTGTTGCATATAAATCTCATCAATATTACATACTTGTTTTGCATTTACATTGATTCTTTTAATTTCTCATCAATACTTAAATTTTTATGCAATTTTTCTTGGCAGATCAAGTGCTTTTGTCTTCTTGAATTGAGTGAAGATTCCTGATCTTTTCTTCTTCTTCGTCCTATTCTTTTTCTAATTACAAAAAAAAAATCAAAAACAAAAAAAAAAAAGGAAAAGAAGGGTTCTTTGTGAAGCACCATTGAGATCTCCTCTACAAAAAGGTAAGTATATATTTTTGTTCAATTGTTATTGATTTTTTTTTAGTATTTGTTGATTGCTATATAATAATTTTGCATTTTCAGCCTTCTAGTGTTAAATTTAGCAGGATTTCAATGTGTTAAATTTGATGCGCTGACTTGTTTTACTTACTAATTTAGTGAGACAAATAAACTCAACTTATTTAACCCTTGAGTCAAACAACTCAATTGGTGGCCTATTATATTAGCAGGTTAGCTCCTATATAACTCATCATAGTATTAAAATGAAAAATCCAAATTAATAAATCATAAAATAAAATAAATAATTGCAACTAAAAATAAAAAAAATTAAGGAATATATCAATTATGCCAATGAAAAGAGTTTTTGCTTTAGGAATTTGAATTGGACCATTCTTTGAATTTTGAAGGAGGCAATCGGTGATCTCAATTACAATTTTTTTAAAAAAGTTAAGATGTCTTGTAATATTTAAGCTGATATTTTGTTTATTCTTCCAAAAATAAAAGGACACATTGTTGTTTATCCTCTATTTTAATTTCTGATGGTTTCTACTTTATTGATTAAATGAAACATTTATGCCATTCTGCTCAAGTACACACATATAGTCTGCAATAAGGAAATTACAAGCATTCCTTCGTGCTCTCCAAGTATTCCTGGACAAAGAGGTTAGTTCAATAGCCTAGTTTTTTTTTTTTTCAAAAACTTTAATTTATATTTATTTATTAATTATTTCTCATATGTGAAGAATAAAATCGAGGTCTTTTGTACTCAATGTGAGAGCTCTTTAATATCTACACTTCTATAAATTTCTATGCCAAGAGGTGACCAGGTCTTATTAAAATGTTGTTTTAATACTTCGTCATCAAGTTCTTTAATGAATATAATATATATATATATATATATATATAGGAAACATATATTGGAAAAAAGGTTTAATTTTGTAGTATTATTGAAGGATTGATATGTAAATTTTATGGACTTGTCATATTTTTATTTGAAATGTAGATAACAAACATTTACAAATTTATATATAATAAGTTCCTTTAAAAAATGACCGTGTAATATTATTTTTAAACTCTACCTTTTGCAATGAAAAAGATAGATGTATATAAAAAAAAAATTATTCATTTTTTTGTAATTTTATTTTAATTACAACCTTTTAATTTTCCTAAAAAATTTAATTTCTCCTTGACCTATCCATCAACTGCAAAATGTTATTTTTACCATCTAAAGTTTTACTTTTCTCATCTTAAAAAAAAATTCCTAGTTATATCTCTAAAAAATTTCAGTCGATGATCAATTATACTATATAGTCAGAAGTTTTTCTTCTGAATTTTAAGAAATGTAAAACATCTCACCTTTTTTTAAATTATTTTTCAATTTTAAGTCACTATCCAATTCACATTAACAATTTTTTCTTGTATTTTTTGTACAAATTGTTCAGTTCGCTGCTTGATGTTCATTTCAAGATATTAATAATTCTAAAAAATGCTAGCATGTTGAATTTAATTAAACATTTTCAAACATATTAACTAATTGACCCTTCCTTTTACTGACTATAGATATTCTTTTCACAGGAAGGTCTGACACTCAATTTGAGCTTTTCAATCCCCACTTCTATTTCCTGGAAGAGGTAAACTTATGGTCAGTTTATTTCAACTTATTTTATAAAAAAATCATTTATTTTTTAAAAAGATATATTTTAAAGATATCATACAATTTTAAAATAATTAGATAATAAATTATTTTATAAAACAAAAATCAAAAAGATATGACGATGATAAAATTTAAAAATAATTGATTAATAAATACTTTTTTATTATTACAACCAAACATGAAATAATGTTTTCTTTTTATAAAATCTCTTCAAAATAAATGTCTTATTGTCTCTAAACTATTTAAAAATTACTTATTTTTTAATCTTAAACAAATAGGTCCTTAATTGACAGATCTTATAATAATATCTTGCAAGAATTTGTTATTAATTATTTGAAACCAATATTTTAATTTTAACAAAAATATAATTGGATTTAAATCTCAATCAGAATAACCCTGTATTATTAATTATTTCAAATACTAAGACTTGTTCATTTTGTTTTTTTTAAAGAAAAGCTGAGGCATCATATAGATAAAATTCTTATTTTTCTTATCCACCAAAAAATAATTCATAGCTATCTCTAAAAAAATATTACAGTCATTGATTGATATTTTGTTACTGACAAAAACACTTCTGAATTTTATGAACTTCTAACAAAAAAGTTTTGTTATTTTTATTTTGTTACCTTGTTTTTTTTTTTGGGCCCCCCAATTCCAATTGGTCTCTCTTCATGGAACATCACTTTTTAAAATTTTTAATTATTATTCAATTTACACCGACAATTTTCCTCCTAAGTTTTTTTCACAGTTTTCTTTTTTTGGACTGGCTGCTTTACATCATTTCCATATTTGGCTACTAGGCATTGCGAAAAGTTTCATTTAGTTTGGCCACTTCTATCTTTACAAGGTAAATTTTACTGTTTCTTATACACGATTTGTTTTATCTTGCACTCTTTTTTTTTAATTGATTGTTTAGTCTTTTTTATGTGAAATATAGGATGAATAAATTTTAATTAATTTATTATGAACTAACATAAATTGATTAATTAAATAATCAGCTTTATTTTGATAGAACCCTAAATTGCAAAGCACAGTAAGTCGTTTGAGGCCAGTTTATAAGTCTTTATAATTTCTTTCAATTTTAAATTAAATCTTTGTAGTGTATTTTATGTAAATTGAGTCCTTAAAATTTGATTTATTAAATCTATCCACCCCTGAAGGTTAAAAACCCTGAATTTCTTCTTTTTTTAAAAAATAAAATTTAAGCTATGGGTCAAGGAAATTTTGGATCTTAAACAAGTTTTTGGTTATGATGTTCTCTTTTCAATATTTTAAAACAGTGGTCCATTAATAAATGTTAATTTTGACAGTTGACAAAATATATAAAATCAATTCTCGTATGAACTTCACAAGTGTTTTTTTTTTTTAGAAAATTAATATTTCATTAATGAGATCTTAACTTCTAGGGATTAACACATACATACATATATATAAAATACACCGAACTGTAGAGGCTTGATTCAAACAAAATAAACTACAAGAACATAATTTAAAATTGAGGGAAATTATAAAGACTTGAGATTTAATTTTCCCTAATAATTTTGTATGTAACTTTTGATATCTCAAAGTGATTAAAATTTTTTCACTATCTTCATTTTTTGGATTCTATTTTAATTAGTTTTTTTATTAAATCTTAAAAAAGTAGGCAAAGATTTGTTTTTGGTTAAAAAATATTCCTCCACATGTGATTATTTCCTTGTAGTTTATTTTATTTGAACTAAATCCTTATAATTTGCTTCGTTAAATACATTTGTCCCTAAAAGTTAAAATCGACAAATTTCTTCCTTTAAAAAAACTAAAATTTAATCAATATTATAGTTTATTAAATGATTAAATAAATTTATAATTAATTATATAATTTTCATAACTCAAAAATAATTTACACAAGTATTAAATCAATTTTTTCTTTTTTAGCCAAAAGTGTTAAATCAAATTTCGAAAGTTTTTTTGTTTTGGTAAAATTAATCTTTCATTAACAATTTAAACTTTTAGGGATTAACATATCTAATAGATAAAAATCTAATAATTTAATTCAAATAAAATAAACCGTAGGCGATAGTTTAAAATTGAGCAAAACTATAAGGCCTTAGGGTTAATTTTCTCTAATTATTTTGTATGTGATTTTTGATATCTTAAAGTGATTGAAAATTGCCACTATCTTCATGTTTTTTTATTCTATTTTCGTTAAGTGATGCAGAAATCAGGCAAAGATTTTTTTTTTTTGGTCAAAAAAATATGCCCACCCGCATGTGGGGACAAATATCATTAAGTAAATCTCTCATTGGAAAATAATAAAGTCAGTATTGCATATTTAAAGTTGATGCTTCTTACATAAATAAAGCATTTTAAAACTTCTCTCGTTTCTTTTAATTTTTTAAATGACCCCAATTCCAATTAGTTTCTCTTCATGGAACATCACGTTTTCCTTCTTTTTTCCCCTTTGTGTATAGTTTTTTGGATTGGCTACTTGAGGATCACTTCAATATTTTCCTATGCCCTACTAATCATTGCCAAAAGATTTATTTAATTTGTCTATTTCAATCTTTACAAGGTAAATTTTGTTTTATATTTATGAACAATTTATCTTGTGATCTTCTTTTTAATTTATTGTTTAGGCTTTATTATGAGTTGGGTATAATATAGAATGAATTAATTTTAATTAATTTATTATGAATAAATTAAACATAACTTGTCCAATTTTAGACTTAATTAAAACTTTTTTAGTGGGAAAAAGGCTTGTTGTTGTTGTTGTTGTAAATAATCAGCTTTGTTTTTTTTTTTTTTCCTTTGGTACAAATAATCAGCTTTGTTTCGATAGAACCACAACTTGCAACGCATAGTAAACTGTACCAGGACACTAACTAATAAAGGGTAAATCAAATTGTGCGTATAATCATGTGAGAAAATTAATCTACAAGTCCTTAGATATAGTTTCTCTTAATTTTAAATTAAGCCCTTGTATTTTATTTTGTTTGAAATGTCTCCCGAAGGTTGGGCTTCTTTAATTCTATTTTCTATTCTTATGTTCTTAAAATAATTCTATAGAGTAATGTTTTAGAACAAGTTTTGGAGACAAAAAAAAAAAAGAATAAAATCTGTTTGAATCATTACTATAAAAAAACATATCTGATCTAAATTGGTAAAATGAAGATTGAAAAAATTATTTATTTCATTAACATAATTATCATAAATGAAAACATAATATTTTCTGTCTTTTCTCTAATTTTACTTTAATTTGCAGCACAAAAAGTGACAAAACATAAAAGAAAAAGTTATGATTTTTTTGTTTTTCAGAACAACTTTTTACTTTTTTAGTTTTAAATAGATAATAGAAATCATATTTTCAAACATGTTTTTAAATTTTTATTTTTCAGACCAAATTTTTTTTTCCCAAAACAGGTAATCAAAAAGGAACAAATCCCCAAATTTCTCCTTTAATTTTTTTAAGTTTTATAACTCAAAATTAATTTACACAAGTATTAAATCAGTTTGCTTCTTTTTTTGTCAAAAATATTAAATCATATTTTGTAAAAAATTTAAATTTTTTGTTTAGAAAAAATCAATAATTTATTAATAATTTGAACCTGTAGAGTTTGATAGACTTAACATATCAAACAATGAGGGCTTAATTCAAAGAAAGTAAATTATAGTACCCTAATTTAAAATTTAGAAAAACTCTATAAGGACCAAGGAATTAAATTTTCCTAATTATTTTGTTTGTAACTTTTGGTATCATAAAGTGATTAAAAATTTGTCACTACCTTAATTATGATCATATTTTCATTAGTAATCGTAACGAAATTAGGCAAAGAATTTTTTTTTTTTTGGGTTAAAAAATGTGGCCTCATATATGGCGACCATTACCTTCACATGTTTAATATTGCCGCTTCTTACATAAATCAAGCATTTTTAAACTTTTCTATCTATTTTTTGATGAAAAAATTATAAATGGGTCTCATCTCCTATCACTTTTTGAAAATACTCCCAAGCCCCGGGATTGTTTGCAATTAATACATAAAAGCTCTCAGACTTATACCCTTTGACTGGCACTGATTGACCACCGGTGATTGTTGATCAAAGGCTGACAGCCATTGATAGGTCACTAGCTAGTGTTGGCTGGTCGAAAAATAAATTTCTTGAAAAAATATTTTTATTAAATTATTCATATTTTAATAGTTGCAAATCAAACATAACGGATTTACAAGTAAATTTTTAAGGTTCACAACTCAAACTTCTTACATTTACAATTTAACCTCTTACAATATTAATAAGTTATATATAATAGTCAACTTTATAAATTTACAAGTTAAATTTGACAGAATTACAAGTTAGGCATCTTAAATTTATATGCAAATTTAAAGAAAAAAAATACTTTGACCTTAACAAGTCAATGCTATAAATTTAAAGCTAACATGGTACAACTAGGGTTATAGGTGAATTTACATAATTTTTTCATTCAAATTTTATGAATTGATTTACAAGTCAACTTTTAGATTAATAAGTCAAACCTAAAAATTTATGACTTAATAAGGTAAAATGCTTAGTCTAGTTGTAAATTTATTAAAATGATTTGAAAATTTTGTACACGAATTTATAAAATTTGAAGAACCAATGCAACATTTATATAAACTCAATTGTAAATATGTGAGGTTGACTTATAAATATAAGAGATTTAATTATAAATATTAAACTTTTAGTTTTTTTAAGACATTTTTAAATTTAAGAAGTCTACTGTGTAAATTTGTAATATTTAATTTGTAAATCTCAATGTTTTAATATTGCAAGAGGTTTACTTGTAAATGTACAAAATTTTACTTGTAAATCTTGAATATTTATTTGTTAATCTATAGTGTTTGACTTGTAAATAACAAAGTATTAATATTTTAATAAAAATATTCATAAAAAATATTTTTGGCTAGTCAATGTGGGCCAATGACCAGTCAACGTTTGTTCGTGATCAATCAACGATAATCAACACTAGTAAAAAGGGTGTGAATCTAAGAGCATTTTTGTCATTTAAGTGGTAAATTAAATGCAACTAAGTCCCATGGAATTTGAGAGTATTTTTTACAAATTTGTTGGACTAACGTATAAACAAGTTTGTTATATAGGACTCATTCACAAATTTTCCATTTTAAATTCTTTTAAAGTTCATTTGCCAACAAATATTTTTGTACTGCGTGTACTCTGTGTGTGTGTGTGTGTTTGTACTGCGTGTACTCTGTGTGTGTGTGTGTGTGTGTGTGAATGACATTGAAGGCCTTAAAAGGGGACACTATCACAGTAAGGGCCTATCAATTTTGTATCAGATATTGTGTTGTTAAAATACAGACATATTGTTGTAAAACGTTAAACTTTAACTTGTATTTTTTGTTAGGGTTTTGTTAGGAATTTAACAAGTTAAGTTTCAGTTTTGCACAATATGTTCGTGTTTTTACAACATAATATCCGATGCAAAATTAATAGGCTCTTATTATTTTAATTTTTCCTTTTAGAGCCTTTAATGTCATTCTCCTTGCATATTACTTAGTTTCATTGGGCATTGAATGTATAAGAATTTACGTAATTTATGTTCTTTATATATTCCATTGAATGGCTAAATTTTTCAGGTATCAATAGTAAGTATATTCATAAATTTTTTTGTATTTATTTATTTATTTATTTATGTTATGCTTAGGACAAAAAGTTACCTCTCCCTACCATGGAGATATGCACCTCTATTGTGTCAGAGATTGTGAAGAGCTTTATCAATGAAGCAATTCACCAAGCAAATTATCCATTTCGATTCAAAAGATATGTTAAAGATCTTGTCAAAGAAAAAGAGAATCTTTTAGCACAGAAAGAAAGCATAGATGGTCGTGTCACAAAAGCCAAACAAGATGCTCTAAAGATTGATATTCTTGTTACGCAGTGGTTGGATGAAGCAGATACTCTCATAGTTGATGCAGTGTTGCTGGAAGAGAAGGCCAAGGCAAACAAGAGTTGTTTTTTTGGGCATTGTCCCAACTGGATTTGGAGATGTCATCTTGCGAAGCAGATAGAAAAGAAGACAAAGGAAATGGCTAATCAAGGAGACAAATGCAAATTTGAGCTATTTGCACGCCCTGCTACACCACCAGACATAACTTATTATTCTTCCAAAGGGTTTTTCTTGTTTGATAGCACCAAATCAGCATATGGTCAACTTTTGGAGGCATTGAAAGATGTTGATGTTTCCATGATTGGATTGTATGGAATGGGTGGTTGTGGCAAAACCACCTTAGCAAAACAAGTTGGTATAGCGACGAAGGATCTTTTCAACAGAGTTGTCTTTGTTGTTATATCTAGTTCTGTTGATGTTTCGAGGATTCAAGATTCTCTTGCAAGTGAACTAGGTGTCACTCTTAAAGGACATGACAACCAAGCAAAAGCCAAAAGCTTGTAGTCAAAACTTGATAATGCAGGAAATATTTTAATAATTTTGGATGATGTGTGGGAGAAGCTTGATTTTGAAACCATAGGAATTCCCTTTGGTTCCAATTTCAAGAGATGCAAAGTTTTAATAACTGAACGGCATAAAGATATTTGCGCATTAATGGATTGCCAAAGGTCTGTTAACTTGCATCTGTTGAATGAAGAAGAGGCATGGAGATTGTTCCAATATCATGCCAAGATTACTAATCTAACCCCTGAAAGTATGAAGGATTTAGCAAAGAAAATCGCATACGAGTGCAAAGGATTGGCTATTGCAATAGCAACAGTCGCCTGCACTTTGAAGGATAAAGATATTGCTGAATGGGAAGAAGCTTTGGAAACATTAAGAGATTCTGATTGGATGAATATTGCAAAAGGTCTTCCAAATCCATACAAGTGCTTGATGTTAAGTTATCAAAACTTAAATGATGAATATGCCAAGTCAGTTTTTTTGCTATGTGCTGTATTTCCAGAAGATTTTGAAATTTATGAAGAAGATTTAGCAAGATATGGGATTGGATTAGGATTTTTCAAGAGCCTGAATTCGTTTAGAAGAGCAAGGAATAGATTACATATTTCTAAAGAAAAGCTCATTGATTCTTGCTTATTGATGAGAGTAGACAATGGGCAATGTGTGAAGATGCATGATTTGGTCCGTGATATAGCCTTATGGATTGCCAAGGAAGAGAATAAGGAAACTAGCAAATGCCAAGACGAGTGAAGAAATAATGAAAGTGGGAGGGGATACAGAAGATGATAGAATAAGATATTTATGGTTGGATGAAGTGAAATCATTTCCATCTCAATTACATTTTTCCAACCTTGTTTTCTTATATGCTAATTGTAGGGATTGGAGAGATGAACCATATATGCTCCCAAATGATTATTTTAGGAAACTGTTAAAGTTGAGAGTTTTGGTTCTTATTAGTCGACAATATTACTGGAGATTTAGAGGAAAAATTAATTCCTCAGTTTTCCAACTAATATCTATTATTTACAGTTAGAAGCATGGGTAATAGGTGATATAACTTCTGTAGGGAGTTTAAAGAAACTTCAGAGTCTTACATTGAGGAATTGCTCTTTCAATTGCTTACCAAATGAACTATGTGAACTGGAAAGCTTCAAATTGTTGGATGTACGTGGATGTGACATTGAAGACAATCCTTATAAAGTGATGGGAAGATTCACAAAATTAGAGGAATTATATTTTATTCGAAATACAGGCCCATGGATTGATGAACAAGAACATGCTTCTGATATTTTTGGCACAAAAGTTGAGGCCGTAAAATTGCAGAGGTATAGCATAGAAATTGGAAAAATTTCTTTGGAGGTTGATGTTGATTTAGGGAGACTCGTTAGAAGTATAGGGGTCCAACATTTTGATATCTCCACAACAAATGAAATGATAAAGGATCTAGTGCAAAGGGCAGAGTGTCTTTGTTTGAAAGAAATTCATGGAGGGGCTAAGAATGTCGTTCCTGAGATAATTCAAAGAATAGGGGGAATAGAAGCCGCAAATTTGAATAACTTATTTTGGATGATTCTCAAGACTTGGAATTCTTTGTTGACATTGTAGATAAAAGGATTGTTCATTTTCAAAATGTCTTGTCAAAATTGATTCAGTTAGAAATACGTAAGATGTGGAGTTTGAAAGCTTTTACAAGTGGCACATGTCTAAAAGCATATCAGATGCTAAATATGTGCAATCTCAAGGCATTCACATTATACAACTGCCCATTGTTGATTCATGTCTTTACATTTGCCTTTGCTAAAAGTCTAGTGATGTTAGAAGAGCTTAAGGTAAGTCGTTGTGAAGGGATGAAGCATATAGTAGCAGGTGATGAAATGCAGCACAATCAAGAGATGTCTAATTTTGTGTTCCAGAAATTGAAACGACTCACTGTTTCTAATTGCAAAGAAATGGAATACTTAACAACAACTCTACATGTTCAAGGCTTTGCTGAAAAATTGGAATATTTGAGCATAAATAATGTTCCCAAGCTGAAATATTTGTTCCCTCAATCTAATGTAGAACGTCGTGGTCACAACCTTAATGAGTTCCAGTGCATGGAGCTTCACAATCTAAAAGAGCTAGATCTTCAAGGCTTGCCAAATCTAATCAGCATTTTCTCAGAGAATTATTATTCAAGATGCTGTTCTTTGGTGAGCTTGACATTGGTTGGTTGCCCAAGGTTAAAGATGAAGTCATTAGGCGATCAACTTATGGTTGTGCTACCTTAGAGGTATTGCTCCTTGCCTAAATCATTTTTCTCCATAATTAAAATCTCCATTGTATATATCGAGAAATTAAAATAATTCTTATTTAGGAAGCTGCAATATCTTTTCATGTTTTTTTAATCATATTATACATTGATAATAAGATGTATATCGTTTGCAACATTAATTATTTTCAATAAAAAATTTTGAATCAATGATACATTAAAATAAAACATCAATTTTTTTCCTGGTTATTTACTTAGAAAGTTTATCTTGTCTGCATGTCTTACATCTTTCTTTTTTGTTAAAAAAGATTAACATTAACGTTACAAAAAAAAAAGATTAGCATAAACTATTTATGTGGACATTTATATCCATCAATTATTTTGGTAATTATAGTTAATTAACTTATTTTGATATTAACTTTATTATCTAAATACATATGCTCATTTTTTGTTGAGTCCAAATATATATATATATATATATATTAGGACTTATTCTTGTGGAGGATTAAGACAAAATTAATGGTTTTGCAATATACGTGTGAATTTTATATTATTTTAAGTTTGGTTAAAAAAACAAGCAAGTAAAAGCAAATTATTGTTTTATTTTGTTAATTTCATAGGTTTAAATTCCAAGTTCAGGTAATAATTGAACAAATACAAGTTGAATATATAATATGATTCTTTATTAACATTTTATAAAGCATTCTCTTTATGATTATTTGCACCTTTTGACAAGAATTGGGATCATTTTCACGAGTCACTCAAAGCACCCGTATGAGTTATGAAGCTACTCTTTTGCAAACTCTAAAATATATTAACGTTGAAGTTGTCAAGAGATAGATTTGTTTCAACAACAAGGACTTGCCCTAATGAAGAGCCAACACCATTGGTATCAAATTTAGAAACGAATGTATCTATATGGCCTTCCTAAGTTGAGATAATATGGAATCGGTTCCCATGCAATGTATCAGTCTCCAAAGGCTTGAGGGACTGGATATCAATGTATCAGTCTCCAAAGGCTTGAGGGACTGGATATCAATGGATGTAAAGAATTGAAATGCATTTTTACAGGAACTATCATGAGAAGCCTACCGCGTTTATGGAGAATAAGCATAACAGGGTGTGATGAGTTAGAGCAAATCATTGAGGAAGAGGAATCTTATTACCATTTGGAAACCACTGCAAATTCTTCTGCTCAACCTCTACATAGCTCCCAAAACATAGGTTAATATAACTACCTCTTATATTTTCTTCTTGGTCTTTTAGTTTTTTGACTCATTAATTTTAATATTACGTTATGAAAAATACTTTAAAAGAATGGAAAGTAAAATATAGTGTTCTAAGAAAATAAAAGAGTAGTAAATAATGAGATGAAGCAAAATAGGTGCAACCTTAAGTATTTCAAAGTCAGTATAGTTTTAAAATTGCTTATCTGTAGATGAATATGGTTTCAACAGGGACACCAAATTTGTGCAGTCTCTTTAAGCTGGATGTAAGCGATTGTCCAAAGTTTAAATGGTTGTTCACACTATCCACAGCTCAAACCTTAACATCACTACGGGAGTTGACAATTGAGAGATGTGAAGGGTTGCAATATGTTATGAAAGATGAGAGAGCTAAAGGCAAACAGAGCATCGAGGAAGCAATTGATGATAGGCAGGCCATGCTTCTAGAGCTCGAACACCTATATTTAGAAGATCTACCAAATCTCATTGAAGTATACAAAAGGTTTCAATTCCAATATGTCAGATCTCATGAAGTAGTGAACTGTCCAAAATTGGTCCCACAACAACCAGCAGGTGCACGCTTTGTCTTTCATGTATTTATGAATTCCTAATTAACCTTTATGCTAATTTTAATAATTAACTAATTATATATGTTTTTTTATGGAACAAACAAGTTAAACAACTCACAACACCAGTCACACGCACATACCTTTGCAATGCCTTAAGCCTTTAATTCCTTACAATCTCAAATCATATTTACATTTACTAATTTCAATGGACTTTTTAATTTGATGAAGTCGTGAGGACAACAACCAAAGATGAAAACTAGCAAGTCACAGGAGACTCAGAGGAGGACAAAACAATTGAAGAAGAAGAAAAGAAATTAGTTCCTTATGACCTCAATAAGGCAGCAAAAAAATCATTTTGGAATCAGAGTTTCCTTCCTAAAGAGCTTTTAGTTTCAACAATGAAGCTAGTCCTTCTGGTAATTCTTGCGATTCCTAATTATGATTTGAGACTTAACCTTCATTATTAACTGCTTCTTCTGAGTACAATATTTTTTTGTTGTTTTGTTAATTTTAATCATGTGCACAAATTAATAGGTGAAGTAGCACTAGAGTCGTATAACGTAGAAGCCATCGCCATCCTAGGTTTGCCATTAAGGCCATCAAAATCTGCATCCTCTGTTCAAGCTCTGCCACTTAAAGATGACTTATGAGTTCCTCAACTGTTGGACAAACTTTATATGATCATTATTATTATTCTTACGTTTAATTTCTACTCCTTTTCAATGAAATGATCAATACAATTGATGAATTTGGCACGGGCATTGAATTTTCATGAAACTAGTTTGTTAATAAATTAAAGGCATATAAATATGATCCATCTTGGATATATCAAAATCAAATTGTTTGATATTGTGTCTATTTATTAGTTATTCACTTATTGATATCTCCTTTATCAACATTAGAGAAGCTATAATTATGTTGGCTTTGCGGTACTTTATGTTCAGAAAACTAGAATAGATTCATTTATATGCTTTTGTTTTATAACACGTATAAAGTTTTACTGTTGGCGTGCATTTATATTTAAATTAATGGAATGCTAAAACAGAGGAAAAATGTGTAAGTAGAAAAAGGATAAATAAACTACATATATACACAGACAAATATAATTATATAAACTTTCCCAATCAAACTAATAGCAGCATTATTATTCATAGCCTGGAATGAACCATCAATATTAATTTTAACCACACCCTCCTTAGGCCGCTTCCAAGTCAAATCCCTCTCACAATCAGCTACAGGTTTTTGCATAACCCTTCTCTTATTCAAACCAGACCAATATTCATCAACCAACCCCAAAGCTCTGCTCAAGCAAACATCAGGCTTTATGACAGCATTTTCAAACACAAAAGCACATCTTGCTTTCCAAATACCCAAACACATAGAGCAGCAAAAAAGCCACTTCAATCTCATCACCTCTAAATCTGTTAAACAAATCATCTTCCAACCACTTCCCAAGACTCCTCATACCAACTGTATCAAATTCAAATTAAGAGGAGAACCAAACCAACAACTTTTGACCCAAGGACAAAAAATTAGGACATGCTCAACAGATTCAACCTTGGATGACATATACAACAAAGAGAATTTTCAGCACACTTCCTCTTACATAAAGCCTCCTTAGTAGCTATAGAACCACTAACAGCCCTCCATAAAAAATGCAAGACCTTCGGAGGCAATTTAATCCTCCAGATATTGTTCCACAATCTCTTTGATGCCACATAAGACTCCCTTAGATCCTTCCTACCTCCCACCTTAACCTCCTCTTTCACTACCTTATAATCCCTGTTTACTGTGTACATACCATCCTTATTTCTCAGCCAAACAAAATAATCAACAGAATTTACTGCTGGAATTCGCACTCTTCTGATTAATTCCATATCCTCAATAGTAAACCAACTATAAAATCTGCCAAAATCCTAACTCCCCTCAGAAATGATATCCTGAACCTTTAAAAGCTTCATTTCTTCAATCTAAGCTCTAGATTCAAGCCTACAACCAATCACAATAGGTATCCATTTATCAGCAAACACAAACACTTTCTCTCAAGACCCGATCCTCCAACAAATATCTTTTTCAACCAAGTCCCTTCCCTACAAAATGCTTGACCAACCCCATGATGCCTTACTACCCTTTTTAGCTTGCAAAAAATCACATTTAGGAAAATACACACCTTTCAAAATTGCACACCACGGATCATCAGAATTCTGAAGCAATCTCCATGCTCTTTTTGCAAGCAAGGCTTTGTTAAAAGCCTCAAAATTCCTAAACCCTATACCCCCTTCATCTTTAGCCAAACACAATGACTTTCATGATTTCCAATGAATCCTTCCCTTATTAATTCTCTGACCCCACCAAAACTTGGATATCATAGCATCTAACTTAGCACAAACTTTCTTAGGGAATTTAAAGACAAACATAGGAAATACAGGAATGGCATTAGCCACAGCTTTAACCAGAATTTCCCTTCCTGCAAAAGTCAAAGTTTGCTGCTTCCAACCTTGCAACTTAGCACCCATTTTACTCTTCACAAAAGCCAAAGCTTTTGCCTTCGATCTACCCCATACCATAGGTATTCTAAGATACTTCCTAGGATTTTATTGCATTAATTCCCATAATCTTGAAAACAGCATTTTTAATCTCAGGACTAGCATTTCCAGATAAGAAAATACATGATTTAGTCAGATTCACTGACTGACTTGAAGCATCACAATAATCATCCAAAATTTGCTTCAAAACTTTACAATTCCTCTTCCTTGCATTCACAAAAAAACAATGCATCATCAGCAAAAAAACAATGAGACAACATGGGACATTTTTGCGCCACCAGCTTTATACCCCTCAACATCCCCTCATCCACCCCTTGTTGGATCATAGTAGATAATACATCCATGGCAAGAATAAAAAGGTAGGGAGACAGTGGATCTCCTTGCCTAATTCCCTTTTCCATTCTTCATCTTGCTATCTTCCTCCTTGAGACAACCAAATTCAAAGAAATGGACCTAACACACTCCATAACCCACATAATCCCTTTCTGACTAAACCCTAACTTCCTCAATACTTCTTCAATAAAACACCACTCCAACCTATCATATGCTTTATTCATGTCCACTTTCACTGCCATTTCCACCTTCCCTCCTTTCTTTCTATTTCTCAAATAATGAAAGGCCTCATGTGTAATAATTATGTTATCTTGAATCAATCTATTAGCAACAAATGCTCTCTGATTATCAGAAATGATTCTACACAGCGAACCTTTCATACGATTTGACAAAATCTTTGATACTATTTTATATGCAAAATTACATAATCCAATAAGGCGAAATTCTCCCACAATTTCAGCTTTATCCACCTTTGGAATTAACACCACATTTGTCTCATTAACAATTTCATACTAGCATTATTCATAAAGAAATCAGTCACCATACTTACCACCTCAACACTAACCTCTCCCCATGCTGACTGATAGAATACACCAGAAAATCCATCTGGACCTAGGGCTTTAGTCCAATCTCATTTCATGTTTGATTTTTAAAAATTGGACTTAAACTCTCCTCTTTTTTTTGTATCATTTTTATTCACATTTTTTACGGTATTAATAAAATAAATCTTAATCCAGAGACACTTTATTGTTGGTGCGGGAGCTGAAAAATGATTGCTTAAAATCTTAGTCATATGTGTGCGCATTCCTTTCTCTTTTGGGTCTCCCAACATAAAACCAAACATGCCCTTATAGGTTTGTCTATCCCGTCATTACCCAACAATCTACAATATAATTGGTCCACTTAGTTAATCCAAAGTTCTCTGTAGTCCTATTAATTTAATTAATCATTTCAAAAAAGGCTTATTCGGAAATTTAAATCTTTCTTATTGATTAGTAAAAACTTGTTTATGTAGGGCACAATGACTAGATGAAGCAGCACCATCAGTTTTAGCCAATACAAAAGAAGTTGCAATCCCAAATTTTCCATTGAGGCTCTCAATATCTCTATCCTCTGTTCAAGCTCTGCCACTTGAACAGAGTTTTATATAATCAACATTCAATGATTCTACTGTACGTTTTTCAATTGGCTAATTGATGACTGTGGGTTTGTTATTAACAAACAAATGAATTTGAAATATAATGTAAGCATGTGTTTGCTACTAGATATGCATAGAGAAGGAGTTGCAATCCCAAGCTTATATTTGAGTTCACAAATATCTCTGTTCTATGTTCTCTGTTCATGCTCTGCAATTTGTAAGCTACAGTATCAAGCTCGTATGTTTTTTTTTTTTTGGTTAAATTAATTGATGCTTGTGGACTTGAAAACACATGCATTTGGTATGGATACTATTATTGTATCAATAAAAGGCATATGAACCTTTTTGGATATGAGCTGCATGTTGGGAGGGCAAATTTATTTAAATATTAAAAATGAAAATAAATTAATAATTAAAAAATTGATAAATAATTACATACTTAATAATTTTTTTGCCTTTATGTGCTTCAATAATTGTTGACACTTTCCATCTCTTTTATCTTGCAGAATCCATGATTAAAGTGCATGCTTGAAACCTGCCTCATGCTAAATCAACTTGTGAATATTCCATTTTACCTGACTCATTTTGAATAATATATGCGCGTGATATGAAAAGTCATAATATCATTCCATAAGAGTGCTGTACACTTTTCTTTCGTGGCGAACAAACTATATGTGTGTATGTGCGCGCGCATTATAATTGTAGGAAAATCTTATAAAAAAAAAAGACAAATCCTTGGTTCTTTCTCTAAAAATATTAGAGTCAATGATCAACTCTATTATATAGTAGGAAACTTTTAAATTATATGAAACTTAACACCTCTTACTTTTTTTTCAAAATTATTTTTTTAATTTTAAGTTATTATTCAATACAGAATAACATTTTTTTTTGTATTTTTTTGTACAGTTTGTTCAATTCGCTGCAATTTGATCATTTAAAGATATATTAATCATTCTAAAAAGTACTTGCCCGTGGATACTAATTTTTTTAAATTGACCATTCTTTTTACTGACTATAGATATTTTTCTCATAGGTGAAGAAAGTCGAGGTCTAATTGTAATAATCGAAAGTATATTCATAAAGTTAGAGTAAAATAAAAGGTAAATGAGTATATTTTATATAAATATATATATGATATATATATGTATATATATTTGGGAAGATTAATAAGATGTGGTGTGACTTAGTGGAAATTCTTTTGCTTTTGAACACGGTTGGCACCCAAGAGAAAGTAAATTGGGTATTTAAAAATTTTTAAAAATTTTTTCCAACCTACAAGATGAAGAATATATAATGAATTTGAATGTAGAAAGTTTGACTAATAAAGATTTTAAGAAAAAAAAAAAGCTTGACACAAAAAATTATCCTAATTTAACTTAATCACTTGACTTACATCCAGTTTTCAAAATCAAGATTTTTCACAAAATTACAAGCTTAATTTGGTACTTATTACTACAGTATAACTCACCAGATTACACCCCATCTTGATTTTACAACACTTATTATAATAACTTAGAAAAATTTCTTTCTAAGATTTCAAATCAATAAAAAAAAGCTTTTTACAATAATTAATCTCCAAAGAGAATACATGTAATAACAATGAAGTTTATAAACATTTGAGAGTTTTTTCACAAAATTGATATAATATAGATAAAAGTGAATGCTAATCACTTAGTGCTCAATGAATGTGTTTATCCACTTAAATCAAGTAATTATATATATAGTTTGAGGTTATTGAAATTGTTAGGAGTCCTCACACTACAAAAAAAAAATTGTTTATACACACTTAATAATCCATCTTCAACTAGTAAAAAATTTATCTCTAAATAAGTAGGGATAGATTTAGAGACAAATATCAATGTGTCTTAAACGAGACGTCACTAAATAATTAGAGAAGAATTTTTTAAGTCACCTCTTATTAGAAATGAATTTATTCTATCTCTAAATAAAAAAATTTCATCTCTAATTTTTATGAAAAATTTATTATTGTAAAATGCGTTAACAATTATATAAAATCATAGAGACTGAATATATAGTATTTAAATCTATTTTTAAAAAATGAAAACTAAATTCCTCTAGGCTCCACTGTTATGTCAGTGTCATATCACCGTCATGTCACTCTCAACGTGTGAATCAACTAATGTCATATCACTTGACATCTCACCTATCTATATGTGAATCAACCAATGCCAAGTCACGTGTCACATTACCACAACACATCACGTTACAAACAAATATATAAAGGCTAATATTTGATTCCTTGACCTTTCACTTTTTAAGCTTTAAATTCTTCTTCTTTACTAATTAGATTGAAACACAAAGTCAATTATTATATACAAAATTAATATATGTTACTTAATTACGTGTGTATATATATCAAACAATATATTAATAAAAAGATATGCATATATTATATTTTATTTTAATTATTAATATAATAAAATTATTTATATTATTTTTTAATAAATATTATTTTTATTTTTTACCAAAATATTATATTTGTGAGGAAAATGAACTTAAAATTAATCAAATTTAAAAATATTGTTTTTAATAATAATAATTAAGTATATAATTTATTAAAAATATTATTATTTTAGTTTATATAAAATATCTTTATTTCTTCTCCATATTATTCTCAAAAATTAATAAGTGAATGATCAAATTTTTATCTTCTCACAAAATAGTTAAATATTTTCCCTTCTTTTCTCAACAATAAATTTATCTACAAAATTTCAATTATTTTAAAAATATTTTAATAAAAATAATTTAAACCTATAATTTTGTTAATTCTCATTTTATAAAATTTTAATTTTTAATGAATAGTATTAATAACTTCTACAATACAAATAGTTAAATTAAATATTCAATTAAATATATTTATATGATTTTTTGTAATTAAAAATTATTTTTTTTAAAAATTATTTTTTATCAAATTTATTTAATATGTAATAGGTTTAAAAATTTAAATCTTATAATATGTTATATATATACACACCACCTTATTTTATATTATAATAAATTAAATATTATTTTATTTATGTAATTTTATGTTATATTATATATCAATAAAATTATTATTTTTATATACTCTCAAATTATTTTTATTTTCTCCTTCCATACTATAATGAACATTATTCATACAAATGCACAAAATGATAACTGAAAATTATATTTATACTAAAATAATTAATTCTAGTTGTATAAATATTATCTATTGTCATTTCAAATATATTTTTATTACTTTTTAATATTCAATTTTATAGATTTTTTGGAGTTTTGATTTTATGTTCTTGTTTTAATGTGTTTTATAAAATATTATTAGTAACTTGTTTCAAAACATTTTTTCATTTGGTAAAAATTTATTAAATATTAAAAAGAATACTAAATAAAAATATGAATGACACAAAAGAGACAAAAAATTCAATAAAATATGGTTATAAAATAAATTAATGATTGTTATAAAAAATAAATTAATGAATATTACATAAGAGTTTAGAAAATGAGAATGGTTAAACTTAAAGAAAGTGAGAAAGGAGAAAACAAGATTTAAATGGACACATAGGTAATGACCCAAACTTAAAAATTAAATAATTTTTCTTCCTATAGACAATTTATTTAATTTAATCATTTTAGTTTATAGCACATGAGGAGCATTGACCTAGTGAAATTTATATTGGTTTATATAGAGTTTAGAGTTTCAAATATTACTTAAGTCAAATGTTAGTTTTATTTTCCTTCATATAAAAAATTACTAAAGTGCCCATTGCGTTCTTGTTATAGAAATATTCTTAAAAATAAAAATAAAAAAAAATCCGGTGGGGTATTATGTAATTTTTTCAAACATTTTGGTCTTGTCTTGTAATTTTCCCCATAGTCTTTTTTTCATTCAAATTCTTCTCTTACTTTGCCGTCATATGCGCAGAACGGGGCGCGCGAGAGGGGGAGAGAGAGAGCTTGAGATTTTATTTTTCATTCCAGTGGCTTTGAATACCCCTGTTCACAGTCTTCCTCTCCGTCGACTATCCCATAGCCGGTGACAGTGGGTTCTCCCTGTCGACGTTGCAGAGCTGCCTTCCCCATTAATCGTTCTGCATCCTCCAGTCACTGTGGTGTCGTTTCTGGTGTAGGGAGCTGATGCGTGGGAGCTGAATCACCGAAATGGAGGTGTGATCTGAAGGGTCGCCGCTGCTCCCTGTTTCCTGAGTGCATTTGATCTGTCTTCCTTTGTTCTGTCTGTGCAGTGCCGAAGAGAGCAAGAGAGGAAGTCTGCCATTTGTGGAAGCTTGAAGGACGAGATCTCCATTCCCCTGTTCTGTCAGTACCTTATTGTTCTTTCTCTCTCTGTGTCGTTACTGATGATTAAGGTGAGAAACCTTGGACTCTCCTTTTTGATGACCTTGTGCGAGTGAGTGTGAGTTGTTGATTGAAGTTGCAAACTTTCTCCTCTTTGCTGCTGTCCGCGACTGTATATGCATGATCGTATATGAAGTTGATTTAAGTTGAAATTTGTGGTGATGAAAGGAAGATAAAATTGGATTTAAGTTTCCGTGAGCTTAATTGAAAATTTGATGAACTCCAATTACCATTGAAGATTATTTGAATGAGAATTGAAGAGGGGGAAAAAACTTGAAATTAGAATAAGGAAGTGAGATGTTCGACTTGAAAAGAAGTTGGAACTAAAATAGAGAGGTTTAAAAAAAAAACAGAGAGAGAAGATATTATTAGTTTTGAAGAAACATGCATAAGTTATAATTTGAGTTATTAAATTAGATTTTAAAGTACCTAAGATAGATTGTTAAAGTAAAAGTTGGTTGTGGCATTTCTTTAATTTTAAGAAGGACTTGGTGGAAATAAGGTTGTTTATTTTACATTAGGATCTAAAAGAATTTTGAGATACTAATTGGAAAGCTATATGTGAGATTACATCTACAAGTAATAAGTTGGAAATATTGGTTGAGATCTTGGGGCACCTAAAGTGGATAATATCAAATTAAATATTGGTTTATGGTCCTCCATTAAGCATTAAAAGGTATAAATGAATGAGATGGTTTTCTCTGGCTCTTGTTGGGTTATTGTTAAGTTACTAATTAGATTAGGAAATTGTGATGTTTTGTATTCTTGATGGTGCTTAGTAGTGTATAGAAGTTTGATTTAAGAATTAATTGATGAGAATAAGAAGTTGAAACTATGAAAAGTTGGTTATATGGTGAGCAAATAAGAATGCTCCCAA